CATGCTAAGCATGGATGCTGCCATTGTACCACACCTCCCAACCCCTTAATCAGTTTAAACAGTTCTTTTTGTAAAATTGGAACTGTGTTAGTTCTAAGTGTATTAATCCTTGCCCGTTTTCCTGTATAGGTATTCCTCACCTATTGCCTACTCTGTTTTGTGTCTTGGGATGGACAGCAACTCACGCAACGCTTCAGAGGCTGTGTTAGTTGCAAATCGGGGGAGGATTTGAGGTAAGAGCCTTCTCCTCTGAACTCTGCTCAAGGCAGCCTTCCCAATAACTTGTGTCTCTCTTACAGGTCCAGCTTCTACCAGCCCTGGATTTAACTTCCATCAGCCTAGAGGTGGTAGTAGCTTCCTTCTTCTGCCTGAATCCTCATGTGTTTCCTCAGCATCTCCGTCTTCTGTGTCAACATGTGCTAGAATTAAGGTTAAATACATAGTTGATTTCTGCTTCTCCTATTGAACCCTGACATCACATGTGTTTTTCCTCTTTTGACCTGATGTCAATTTCTAATGTCCAAGTAGGGGAATTAGCAACTCTATTCCACTTCTTCCTTGTTATGTATGACAGGAAGGAAGGGTTGGATGTACAGAATTCCACAGATCTCTCAGATCTCACTTGCTTAGTGGTTAAAGCCTTAGACACTGCAACCAGACAGGCTGGTGTTGACTCTCAGCTCCTGTGTCATTCACTAACTTTGTGATCTTTCCCAAGTTTTCTGACCTCTCTAAGCTTCAGTTTCCTTTATCGTCTGATACAGAGATGACAACTTGTCTATGGTTTTGATGATTGAGTAAAATAATATGCTCAAACTAGCCAGGACATTGTTTCCACATTGTATTTTGTAAGGGAAACAATGATTAATTAGAGACTCTCTCTCTTTTTCATAATGTGTCTTTTGAGGTTGGTGTTAGTGATGTGAGGAGACCGAAATGATGTGTGGACTAGCATTTTCTAGTTTTATCCTCAGAAGGTACTTAACAGAGTCGTTCATTTGCAGGGGCAGAATGTGCTACTTGGGCCCAAAGCAAATGTGATAAAATGTCCAAATGCTATCGTACCTCAGTGCTACAATATCATTGTTTCTGGGTATCTGCTTGAAATTGGTGCCAGGACCACCCCACTCATCCCCTTTCCCACAATTCGAGGATGCTCAAACCCCATATATAAAATGGTATAGTTCTTGTACATAACCTATGTACATCTTCCTGTATACTTTAAATCATCTCCATATTATTTATAATACCTAGTACAAGTACTAAGTAAATAGTTGTTGTATTGTTTAGGGGATAAAAATAAGAGAAAAATCTGTACGCATTCAGTACAGATGCAATCTCTGTTTAAATATCTTCAGTCTGTGGTTGGTTGCACTTTTGGACGTGGACTCCCACATACAGGGGGCTGAACATGCCTTGTCCTGCTATGGCACTGGCCTTCCTTTGGGCCTGTTGTCCATTGCTGAACCTATATTTATTCTGGATTAAGATATACCAAGTTAAGAGTGGGGCTGGTTGTTATAAATATTATTTAGTGGGTGGATTCTCCTTTTCTTAGCCCTGCACTGGAGAATTAGTTTCCGAGAACTAGTGGGGGACCAGGCTTACTGGTATCTGTCCTGCTTTAGTCTGCCACTCCTCCTGTCCACTTTCTTTTCTGATGGTCAGATCAATTCCCACATCTTCATAAAACTTTCTCTGATTATTTCAAACAAATTAGGTGTTAGCAATGGTATATATCTCATCTCTGGATGCCCACAGAATTTCACAAATAGGACCTCCTCCAGACTCTTCCCAAACACCCTGCCAGGCGGCCCGTGGCACCCTGTTTTGCACAAGCACAGTTTGCACTCGGTCTGCTGGGGCCAAGCCTTTCTTTGGCTTTAGACTGGTTTCATTAACAAGCATGTTCACACTCCAACTGGAACTTAACACCCCCACAATGTGTTTAGTGTCTAGTTAATTATTAAGTCCCTCAGCTTGAATTATTCAAGCAAAATTGATTGGGTTCAACCTTCTTCCTTCTCTTTGTGCCTTAAAAAAAAAAAGTAAAAAATTATCCCTCTGCTTTCTAAATAATGTGGAAAGGGTTATTTAGTAAACTTCAATACCCTATACTGTGGGTGGTACCCAAATGCTAATATAATAGGTAGAGAGGATTGGTGGCTTGACTCTTTTGTTAAAAATGCATTGCAAAAACAAAACAAAACAAACAAAAATATTCTGCATTTCATAAACTTCCATTGTTAAATAGAATTTATTGAAAAGACCTAATACATTTTAGGTTCTTTTTAAAATTTCTTGATAGTTATTTATAAATTGGATAAGGAATTATCTCAAAGCCAGTTTGTTAGTGTACTGCACTTGAAAATGCAGAAGGCATTGGTTCCTTCTTTCTTACTCATTTGATCATCTCATAGTTAAGTTAAATTGTTAAGGTGTGTTGGCTTCACCATGAAAAACTATGTTGTTGAAGAATATTTGTTGATCTGAAAAGACATTTATAACACATTGGTAATTGCAAACAGGCTATAAAACTGTCCTTTTTAATGCAATATTTTTGTTAAAATGCATAAAAATGAATTATAATCACCAAAATATTATCTAGTTTAGGATGAACATTTTCTTTTTTTGTCCCTCATAGTATTTACAATTTTCCCCTTTTTATTATTTTTATAATTACACACACACATATATAAAGATGTCACGGTTGGAAATAATTGATCGTTTGCCTAAAAATGTTACTCATGTATCAAGAATACACTGAAAATAGCACTGTGCTTATTTAAGCCAGGCAAGTGTGTACTTGGCAAGTGTAGATTTTACAAAAGGGTCACGATAATCTGTGAATCACAGCAACCTAACTTCTGTTAGCCTTCGTTTTTAGACTTCATGTCTAGACCTTCATTTCTGGTTCTTCCTGGGCTTCCATATCAGTAAGGTGTAAAAAGATGCATTGTGGGCATCAACATAGAAAACTATCGTGGGAAAGGAACAGAAGATAACAGCATTTTTGAGAAAGACCGTACAGGAGATGGCTATTCTGAGAGGAAATAACAGAAATGCAATGACCCAATCTAATAGCATTAAATGTGGGATCTTCCATGAGAATTTTGTAGAGAGCTTCCCCAAGATCAAGCGCAGAAAATCCGTGGAGGGCCCTGTGCCCAGATTCCTGCATTGTGCCATTGGTGCTTGTGTGCAAATACGGGGGTGCAGGTTTGATGACAGTGCTAACTGTCTTGACTCTTTCCATCAGTTGAATCCCCGTTAGGCTGTGACCTTTGGCTGAGGCTAAACAGGCAGCCTCCAGAATATTTCTGGTTCCACATTGGGAAACTTTTGGGAATAGAGATGAGGAATTCTCTCCTTTGCGCGCGCACACACACGTCTTGGATGGTAGTGCAAACAGGTCGGTTACAGTTGTGGTCCTGGGAAATGACAACGAGAAGTGCTGTAATTAGGCACCAAGAATTCATGACTCAAGTGTGCAGGGCCGAATCTGGGCACAGGTCGGGAGCGGCGAGAGGCACCGTCCCACTGGGCACGGTCCCACTGTGCCCCCCTTAGCAAACGTGCCAGACAGGTGGCGTCTCTGAGGCCGAGGAGCAAAACCCGCTTTGCTTCTACGTCTCAGAAACCGCGAGCACCCGCGGACCGCGCGAGGCAGCGTTGGCGCAGTACCTGCCCGCGCTCGCGC